AGATTTGACATAAAAGAATTGGAAGTTGACTGGTCATTTCTTTGAATACTTTTTAAGTCAATAACTGCATCAAACTCAAACTTAACTTAAAACCAATTCTATTTTTCAATCCGTTTCTGATACAAGGGAAGTCAATTTACGATAGATTCCATAGCAAGAAATGAAATCGATGAGTTTATCATTGCGAAAGTCTGATCAATTCCTTCATTGATATACACGAAGATAGTAAAACAGTGTTCAAACAAATACTGCTCACTGTTTTACATTTTTCACTTACTTTGCTTATTTTTATATCATTTAACTAGAAATCACATGGTTTTCCTGATTTGAGATTTCATAATTGATTAATTGTGTGTATTACCACAAAAATTTCATTGTAATGAGATATAGACTAGACAAGAGGAATTAAACTTAGCTCAATTTGATTAAGTGGAAAAAAATAGTGTTTTCTCGAAACAGAGTATTTCGGAAAAATAATTTTTTTTACACGACTCCTCACTGCAATCAGTTTTGGAAAACTTGCGGCAAGCTTGACATTTATGATGTTATTTAGAACATGGAACAGTCTTCTCATCCTTAAATTTCTGGTTACCCTACTAGAGTTTCATTCCTAATGTTTACCAGTTTTTCAGCTAAGAATGGACTATGATGCCCATTCACATGAATGATGAATTCGCATAGAATTATAAGTAATATTTGTATAGGCAGATAATAACTCCAAAGGAGTTTGGATAGAAATGAACTTATGACCTTGAGTCTACAACTAATTGGAAAAGTAAAATAGTGTAAGCATATTGGTTCAATAGTGAAATTATGAGATTCTTAATGGTTAATAAATTCATCACATATGTCAAAACTGAGATGGGAATTTAGTTGAGATTTGAATGCATGAGCTAAACGAAATTTTAAGAATAAATTATGAGTCATTAGATAATTAATGCTTGTTCTTTTATGCTACGATCTTATTTTTCAAAATCTAGCGACTCCTATGCTTTTCCTGTTTGGTCTTGTGGTCTATAACATATTTTATAAAAAAATACAATTAACACAAATACTTACAATAAGCATATGTCAGTTTAAAAAAATATATAAAATGCTACCCAGTAAATTGTTTCAGAAAATAATTTCCGTATACTTAATCAATTCGTTGATGTCTATCACCTTTTGTGAATCGTTTCTAAAATAAAACGGATATTTTCAAGGCTAAACTAGAATCTTACATTAATACAGATAGTGAAAATAAGCGTACTAAATATAAAATAAAAAAATAGCATGTACATGAATATTGTAAATGTTTCAAAATCAAAAGATATGAGTACGTTACCAAAATTCAAATTTTGGTTAAACGAAACATTTCATCTAGCTCTAATTGGCACATCAGAATTAGTATAAGTTCCAAAAAAATTTACCACTTGTTAATCGTAAAAATATATTTACAAAAATTAAAGAATATTATTCAGTTATAGGTTATGCTGGTCGTCCGTTAAACAATGCTCTAGCTTTGTATTTAATCCTTATATAGTGCTTAAATTTTGAAATTAACTTTCTGATACAAAACAAAAAAAAAAGGGTTCTTTAGGAAGAAGAAGATTCCATTGCACCGTTTATAGAAATGCTCGTTAAGAGAATCTTGCAAGTTGTTTATATCTACCCAATGGGCTAAAAAAATCTTCGAAAAGTAAATTGCTGGGTAAGATTCAGAGTTTCAATCAGTGTTTGAATGTAGGAGTAAACGAAACAATGCATCAAATATCGTATTTTTCCTTGATCGACACTAAGTCGAAGCAATCATTTTACGTTTCCCCAGAAGTTCATGACATCATACGTAGATGCTGTAAGCCGTTAAAGTATAACTTCGATTTCGCTAAAAATCCTGAAATTAATCTCTGCCATATGATTTCATTTTATTCCCAAAAAGAATCAAAAGGCATATATGAGGACATTTATTTGAAACTTTCAGAAAATATTTAACTAAATGTTAGTAGTTATCGCTGAAAATTTCAGTTTAATCCGTCACACTTTTCCAATACATCAATCTATGCAGAAAAAGTGTGGCTGTGGCTCTAGCTGTGGGTATTGATGTGAATGTGGTTATGGAGGAGCGTAGGTGTCGATGTGTGTGAGTTTTGGTGTGGTGCGTGGCAATTTTAATATTCGCTCAACTAACAACAACACCCATACACTGACAGCCACAGTCACAGCCACACACACTTTTTGGTACAATTTATGAATAACTCTAGGGAAAAATTTAAAAATCACAAGATGAATGGAAAAGACAAACGTTACATCGTCGACGAGAGAAAATATGCAGGTGATTGGGTCGATAAACCGAAAACAGGTCAAGGTATTTTTACCTGGGCCAATGGCGACCGATATGAGAATGAGCATTCAAAAATATCTTCGCCCTGTTTATTTTGATGACAGATGAATTAAGAGAGGATGTTACATACTATTTGTGAATAATTCTAGGGACAATTCAAAGATAAAATGATGAATGGAAAAGGCACATGTTACTTTGCCGATGGGAGAAAGTATACAGGTGATTGGGTCAATAATCAGAAAACGGGTCAAGGTGTTTTTACATGGCCCAATGGCGATCAATACGAGAATGAGCATCCAAAAATATCTTTTCCATATTTATTCTGATGATTGATCTACTAAGAAAGGATACTCGGTAGTTTATGAATAACTATAGGGACAATTCAAAGGTGATAAGATAAATGGCAAGGGTACATGCTACTTTGCCGATGGGAGAAAGTATGCAGGTGATTGGATCGATGAGAACATGAAGGGTCAAGGCGTTTTTACTTGGACCAATGGCGACCGATACGAGAATGAACCTTCAAAAATATTTTCTCTACATTTATTCTGATGATCGATCTATTAAGAAAGGATATTTGGTACAGTTAATGAATAACTCTAGGGACAGTTCAGAGATAACCAGATAAATGGCAAGGGTACATGTTACTTTGCCGATGGGAGACAGTATACAGGTGATTGGGTCGATGAGAACAAGACAGGTAAAGGCGTTTTTACATGGCCTAATGGCGATCGATACGAGAAGAAGTATTTAAAAATATCTTCTCCATATTTATTCTGATGATTGATCTATTAAGAAAGGATATTCGGTAGTTTATGAATAACTCTAGGGACAATTCAAAGGTGACAAGATAAATGGAAAAGGCACATGCTACTTTGCCGATGGAAGAAAATATACAGGCGATTGGGTCGATGAGAACATGACGGGTAAAGGCGTTTTCATATGGCCTAATGGCGACCGATACAAGAATTAACATTCAAAAATATCTTCTCCATATTTATTCTGATGGCCGATGTATTAAGAAAAGATGTTTGGTACGGTCTATGAATAACTATAGGGGCAATTGAAAGATGGGAATATGAATGGAAAAGGTACACTTTACTATGCTAACGGTCAAGTTCAAAAGGGAATATGGTTAAATGACACTTTTATTGGATGATCTCAACTCTATTCATTTATTATGTTAGTTGCGCACATCAGTAAAACTTATGTTTTATTGTTGACAACGAGCACTTTATGAAAGATTAGCAGTAATGGTTCATCACTTTTTGCAATAGATAAAATAAATTTGATAAATCTAAAAATAGTTTTCCTTTTAATTTTTCGTCCAGTACAGAATGGATTAAGGAGGGCTAGGGTGTGGGTGTGGGTAGTGTGTTGGTGTGGGGGGTGTGGGGGGTGTGAGTGTGGATGGGTGGGAGTGTTGGTGGGTGTGGGTGTGAGTGGTGTGTGGATATGGATGTGGGTGTGGGCGTCAAAATAAGAAATAAATCAACATCCACACCCACACCCTTTTTAAATTAACTCATGTGATCCTAATCAATAGCATTTCAAACGTCATATTTCAATAATAGGATATCCCCAGCTTCAGTATTATGCCACTATGAGCGAAGAAAATAAGGTAGTTTTTGATTTAACAAGAAGTTTCTATCAAACCATGCTCTTGTACCATGCTATGTAGAGTTATATGAAAATCTAATTCAACTGATTTAATGAGACAATTCAATATATGTTCAATAAAAACTCTCAAGATTCTCATCGCGGAAACAAGTGATATACTTCATATGCCATAGTTGTGACTTTGTACGGAAAAAATGTATAAAGATAAAAAAGGACGACCATAAAATCAAAATGCGAACAAATGCTTAAGAAACTTAAGCAAAAGCTGATCATTAGATTATTTAAACAATTTTCAACTCTCACGGAGAGCTTACAAAAATTGAAATTGAGTTTCTTTCATTTATCAATAATAGCAACTTAATCCGTACTACGAGATAATTAAAATGACTGATGTTCTAGTTGTATTGAGCTGTAGCTTGGCTGTTTTTCTATGAATCATCATTCAATAAAACAATTTCTATCTGTAACATAAATAAACCAGTCTTATTTCGTTCCTCGAGCCTCTATAATGGCGTCCATGTTTTCCCTTAATTCGTTAAAATCCCTTAAACAGTGCCCACAACCACCAATAGGATCAGCTCATAATGAATAGAAATGTTACACCCAATATATTTTTTTTCTTCTAAAGGAAATTAATATTGCTGTTTATTAGAGTAAAAATTATGGTATAGAATAGGTGTGTTTGTCATAGTGCAGAAGTAGGTTACATTATTTAATTCGAACAAATGAACAATAAATAATCGTACAATAGACTATGGATTAGCTCTTTCTTTATGATGTGTCCTTTTCCAGTTCGTCCGCCACGCATATATAAATATGCAGAATTTTATACAATAATCAGGAACATACATAGTGGTGATAAATAGTAATAGGTTTCTCTTCCTTGTCTTAATTTTATTATATAG